TCTTTTGGCTATTAATAATTAGAATTCTCAATGGTCTGTTTATTCCAAATGCATCTCGATCCAGTCCTCTTCATAGAAAACCTAGGTGCTAATGTTTCAGGTTTAGCCTGGAGAGGGCACAGAGAAAGCAGTCCCCAAGACTCCCAAAAGTTCACTCTCAGAAACAGACAAAGAGGACCTTTTAAGACAAAGACTCCTTTAGAGCTTGACACGTTTGGCACAAAGAGTGTGCTGCTTAGAATCTTACGTGTCTCGGACCCCCAGTCTTTCTACGGATTGGCCGTCCGACATGTTCCCCAAAAAAGTACCCCCCAGATGACAGAGACTGAGGAGAAAATTCCCACTTGGTCACAAGACAAGCTGAGGGACATGAAAAAGGGTGAGAGGGGAACCTCATATAGTTTTTTTTCTTTTTAGTTGGGGGGAACCTGCAGCCAAGTTTGTCTCCATAGACTCCGGTCCAGTCAGAACCATGTAACTGGCCAGCCTGCAGGACTGGCTCAAACTGTGGGCTTATGGGGGTGCTAGGCCCATGTTCTACCCTATGGTGACCCTCTTTATGACAAAAAGACACAGAAACAACAAAAGAAATTAACAATGACAACAACAAAAAAGGCTATTTCTGAGAGGAGAGGGAATCAGACAATATGAATATTCATACCACAAAGTACCAAAAAGTATACCAATACCAGAGTCACTATACAAAGACTAGTCACACATAAAAACCTTTTCTCTCATTAATCTTAAATTTGGAAAGACAAAAGAGGCAACGATCTTTTACCGTCTGCTCATCCAGAGGCAGTAGAGAGACCGAGGAAAACCAGGAGTCTGACTGGTAAGTTAAAGCATCTTACTGTGTTGCCGGCTGGTCAGATTCTCAATTCTCCTCACTGTGGCTTTCAGGAGAGCAGAGCAGCTTTGAAGGTCCTGCCCCCTACGTCAAACTGTGGATTAAAGGAGATTGACAGGCCTTGGAAGGGGCTGTCCCTCTATCTGCATAACCAGATGGACCCATCGAAAGAGGGGAAACTTCCCCTTCCCCCCACCCCAAAGTTCCCTGAAAGATCAATTCACAGTTAAGGCAGATTAATAAGAGGAAGAGGTTTATTTATTGCGGGCAAGGGGAGGATCACAGAGTGATTACCCCAAATCCCAGTGAGGTCCTGACATTTTTATTACCTCCTTTTAGAGGGGAGGGGGAGATGAAGAATATAGGTAATTCTGTTTAGGGGCAATAAATGGTTGCTAGGGAGGATGAATAGATGGGGGAAACAGATTGACTTGTAAATTAACCTGAAAGACAGGTATTATGTTTAAAATTATTTGGGCCAGCTCTGGTTGCATTCTTGATCTTCTTTCCCGCAATATATTTAGATAACAGGGAGGGCAAGGGGTGTCAACTGTTCTTTTGTTGGGTCCATCTGGTTGTACAAATGGAGGGAAAGCCCCTTCCAAGGACTGTTGATCTCTTTTAATTAAAAATACTCTTCATACCAAAAAGTCATATTTTGGGGTGACATTTCCTGAGCTCCCTCATACCCTTTAGCCTCTGATAAGTCCCCATGCAAATACAAGTTAGAAACAACCCAAATGTGCAATAATAAAGAATAACGTAAGCAAGTGTAGTGTATCTGTATTAACAAATATTAGGCTTCCGTTCAAAATCTTATTTTTGAAGAAAGCTTAATATCATGAGACAATACTCATGTGACAAAGACTCATATATATACAGTTTCTATGCCACGAGATCCCAGTTACCTAATATGTGCATAAGCATAGAGGAAGGTACTAGAAGGGAATACTTTCACTGTAAAGTAAACAGTGCTTTTTTTCTGGGCAAAGAGATTATGGATGATTTTTACTTTCAACTTTCTTTTTTAGGTAAATATTCCATAATATACATGCATTCTTTCAAATTAGATACCTCCTAACAGTATCTTCCCCCTGTCTAGCAGCTTGTACTCATCCCCACAGAGCAGCAACTTCTACTAAGTGATAAGAACGAGACTCCAGTGGAGCCAGGAACAAGGAGCCTAGGAGCAGGGGAGGTGGTTCTAGAAGGATTGCTACAGGGGATAAATCTTGAGCAACTTTTGAAGGACGTCCAGCTAGCCAAGTAGAGGAGGGGAAGAGGTAATTTAGGCAGAGGAAACAGTAAGCACAAAGCATGGAGACAAGAAAGAAGTGGCTCCAGCCTGGTCAGACCAAGTTCTGGAGGACAGGGGCCAGTCTCACTGTCCTCGGCATCCAGATGGACGTGCAGAATACATGCACCTAGCACACAGTGGGCACTGTACGCGTCGATGGAATCAATGAACAGGATGATGATAACCCACCTTAGCATCCTCATTCATAGCTCGCCTCACTGCCCCACCATCAGGGGGCCCTCTTTCAAACTACACACATTTTAGAGGGAAGGAGACAACGTCAAATCATCACCTGCTATCGCCATCCATTCTTAGCTCAAATTCCTGGAATAGCCAAACTTGAGGAGTCGGCTTTAGAGAGTTGGAGGAAAAGCTCTAGGGCGTGGGGCACCATGGGGAGGGTGGTCCTGGGCACAAAGCCAGAGGGAGGCTTGAGGGCAGCCCGTGGGCTAAGTGGGCAGGAGAGGGGGCCAGCGAGGCTGCTGGTGTTGTAACAATGCTCTAGACACAGACCTACTCTCAGCCCTTCGGCTCCCCTGCTTCTCAGTGAGACTTACCACCAGGTGGCTGCCTCTCCACAGCTCCAGACCTTTTGGACCCCAGTCTCTGCTCTCCTGTCTGCACTGGAGAGCTCAGTTCCGCCCTTGCTCTCTCCTCCCACTTCCTAAGGACAGCCCGTTGAGCCTGGCGGGGACAGGGCTTCTCAGAGATTTCGAGGGCTGAGCAAAGCCGACCCACAGTTTACTTCCTTCCTTTTCCCCTCCTCCCCTCCTGGGACTCTGCCTCCTCCTCCTCCTTAGCTCCCATTATGTGGTTTGCTTCAGTCTTCCCTAGTTATCTCCACCCCAGCCTTGGTCATCTACTCCGGTCCCATCTTCTCATCTAGTCTGAAGATTTGCTATGCGCCCCAGGCAGGGGCGGAAGAGCTGAGGACTGGGGTTGGTCTGACCCTGAGTTTCAGGCCATTGAGAATACGCCTCACAGGACTGTGCGGCGATCACAGGCATGTGGAGTGCCACACTCAATTAAAGGTATTGCCCTGACTCAGCTGATCCTTTGGGGAGGATGAGTGCTTTTCAATTATTTATTTATTATTGTTCAAGAAGTTAATGTACTTAATCCTTTATTTTTACTCCAAAATGGGTAATTTATCTTTTAATTGCCATCCAAGTATTGTTTGTTACAGGTTGCTAACATTAAGTTACAGTGTCTCTCTTCTTTTTAAATTAAACACGAACATTTTATCCTTTTCTTGCTGGAGAAGCAGGGTTGTGTCCTAAGATTAAATCTATTCATTAGAAAAAAATATAACATATAGTTTCAAAGTGTCACCAATTTGACCAAGAGGAATTTGATTCTGGTGCTGTTTTAAATTTTAATTGCCATCCAAGTATTGTTTGTTACAGGTTGCTAACATTAAGTTACAGTGTCTCTCTTCTTTTAAAATTAAACATGAACATTTTATCCTTTTCTTGCTGGAGAAGCAGGGTTGTGTCCTAAGATTAAATCTATTCATTAGAAAAATATATAACATATAGTTCCAAAGTGTCACCAATTTGACCAAGAGGAATTTGATTCTGGTGCTGTTTTAAATTTTGCTTTTTAAGCTTCTTTTTCTTTTCATGTTTGTGTTTTTT